AAAACAACAAAAAGTCTCAAGACAGACTGTTTAACTCTAATGCTCTTTCTACTGTTACTATCATTTTTCTTACGTTTGCTCTCCTGCCATTTCTTATACTTCCTTTGTTGTGTCACATGAGCAATATTTTCTACTCGTGACTTGCCGTGCTGATTACCTGGTATGATTCATATACGGGATACTACTGAGCTGAGATAATTTTCCCCGGGACATAAGTGTCCATAAGAAAATTTCCAATTCGTGGAACAAATTACATACTTGGATACATCCTTGAATATTTTTAATGAATCAGAATTGTCAATACTTTGAATCTTTTCCTGTGTTTACAGCCTATTATATTTTAAGATTTTTTGTGCATTTTCTGGTTTCTGCCATTCAGAACTTACATAGATATACTTTTGTTCTTTTACTCCTGCTACTTAGTGTCTGAATGCTAGTCTTCAGTTACTAAACACAGACCTCCAATATTGCTTAATCAAGGTGAGAAAGACGTAAGATTTTACAGGATGTTAACGATAAGATTCTAAAGATTCTTATTACAGTAACTAAATTAAACTTACTGCTGGGAGAAATACACTTATCTTCCACTGAATGTTACGGAGTGGCAATCGTATAGATAGAGAATAATATTATATTACATTGACAACAGTTCCATTTTCCGACCCTAATTTCAAAGCAATTAAATGAACCTGAATTGTTTTAAAATAAATTGTAGTCAGTTGTAAGTAAATTATAGGATAGCAATAAATAGCTTTAGTAACTGATCTCAATATATGGACTGTTTCTTCTTTTTAATATATACAAAGAAAGTATCAATGAAAACATATATTTCATAATTCCTTAATTATCATTCTCTGTGGGAGTGTTAATTGTCTTTGAGTTTTATCATCTCATAACTGGACACGTTATTCTATCCCCTTTCTAATCTTCTGCCTAATAGGATACCAGGTAGCTGTGTCAGGTCCTGGAATAAACAAATACCCAGCTTTTTTATTTCCTGTCAGTGAATCTAATTTTCCCAGGCTATCACAGATTCTTTGTTCTGCTGTATTGCTAAATTATCGCTTTCTTCATTGTTTCAGTCAGCTTTCAGTCCACATTGCAATGATTACATGGAGACAAATTTGAATTAATTTTCCAGGTAATATTTTCTGAGGTAGCATCAAAGGGTTTATTAAAATCAAGATGTATTACTTCTGCTTTGCTGCTTTGTTCCTTCATTTTGTATACACCCTCCTAAGGTGTACACAGCTTGTTCTCCTACACAAAACATAAGAGCATAGTGACCTTAAAGTCAGAGCCATAGTGTTCTGTCCAGAATAATAAAGCATTGACATTTTTCATGCTGATTACAGGGTATGGAGAAGGATAGTGAGATGTTAGACTTTTACTAGAAATCCAGCCATTTTAATGTGAAATGTCTACTATCAGCGTTTGATTGGCAGTATGGTTCTATGTACCTAGTTAAAAGAATATGAAAATACAGAATTATGTATTAAGGAGAGAATCATAATATATTTGATGATGAGATTAAGTAGATTTTATTTTTAAATTTTTTTTATTTTTTTTAGGTACATGTAGTACACAAACACTTTACACATGCTGTTTACAGTAATCGAGGGTAAGGGAACTGTGAGTACTAAGAAACTACTTGAGTGGTTGGCTATCTTAAATTAGTGAAAATGTTACAAAGAAAAGGTGTGCTGTCTAAATACGCACAGACAGGTTTTAATATTAAGATGAATAGTTGCCAGATTGGATTAGTATTCTTTACACATTATAGGACTAAGTGGAGACATTTGTTTATCTTACAGCAGGAAATTATTTGGATGTTTTTGTAAGCAGCAAGTGAAAAACTAAGCTATTGTCACATCTGTTGTTTTCCATATGTTCTTAAGAGTTTGCATTAATTGGACATGGTCTCCTTGTGGTAGATGGGAGTTTACTGTGAGTTATTAGTAGTCACCTCTCCAGTAGATAGGTAACAAGTGGAGTTGCTTTGCTGGTGGCTGTTAAGCAACGTAATTAGAAATAAACACATAAGCAATTCTGCAAGCCAGTGTGACATTAATTCCGATACATTTAATCACTTGGAAACATGGGTACTTATTAACTATTAACATTTCCATGTGATAAGTACACTGGTTTCTTTCTTTACTTGTTCTCTGAACTGTAAAAGTATCTGAAGCTGTTATTTCAGAAAATACCTGAAATCATTATTTATGAACTATCAAATGCATTGTTCCTTCTGTTTTCCTTCTTGCCTAAACAATAGTTAGTGGGAAATTCCCAGCATGTTTAGGACTATGTATAGCTTTGTTATGATAGAAATTGGCCCTAGGTCTCTTGTCATAATAATTGTCTATTTTTTTAGGGGTTTTTTTGGTTCAGCTGCAACACGGGGTGTAAGTTTGTGTTTTGTTCTGTACTCAGGAGTCACTAATCAGAAATACTTGTATTCTTACCACAAGTAATTAAATGAGCATAAGATTGTTGGGGCACTTGATACTAAGCTAATTAAACTCACAGTTAAGTTAGTGGGATTATGACCCCTGATTTCTTTGGATGATGAGTGTTACTGAAGAGCCCATCGCTCATATTTATACTACCAATAAAGTGTGTTTCTTGAAGTTTTGTTTGGTATACTCCCTTTGGATTTTAAATACTTTTTAAATTTAGATTGAAGTTTTGCAGTTTTGTGTACAACTTTTTTGTATGTGAAATGCATAAACATGCATATTTATGATGGGATAACACAATTTTTTTTTTTTAAAAGCAGATTTTGGCTTTTTAGATTGTGTTCATCTGCTTAATCCTGTCTGGTTCACAAACAAGAGGATTGATTCTGCCTCCAGTTATGCCAGTGTACATCAAGAATAATTTAAGTAATAGAATTTGTTCTGTATAAAATATTTAGAAATAATGTAAGAAGTCTTTCTGTGATGGATGTATTAATCTTGCTTGAAGTTACACTATCCATGTACTAATGAATGTTTTGAAAAGGTCAATTTAATTCTCTAAAGCGTACATCCTAGGTCTTCCAAAATGGAGACACTGGATTTTCATAAAATATTTTCTATGATAAAGGAGCACCTGAAGAAAATGGAATAGGCATGTTCCTAAGTAAAGCCATTTTTGATGAACCTTTCTGTTTTAGTGTGTAGTTTGGAAGATGGGACTTTCCAAGGAGGAAAGTAATAGATGAGTCTGACTATGCTAGCATCTCTTGATTCCTTCCATAAACAGTTGAGAAAGGATTCAGAGCACGTGCTGAAGTTTAGGTGTGCTTCCCTACTCCAGTGTCCTAGGGCCTCTTTGTTGCACTGGTTGCATTCTGACAGCACAGCACTACTTTTAACTAAAATAAAAAGAAGGCAGTAGGAGACGGAGAAGTCTTTGTCTCCTTCCTTTAGGATATGATAAGTTCCCTTGTCTGATCTTTCACTTGTAAATAAAAGTACCATTTTTCAAAGGACAATTTGATATACATGTTATAAACTGGATTTTAATTCAACCAAATAGATGCATGATGTTATGCTTCTATTACCTTTCACCTCCTATACTTACAGAGTGGTTTTTGCATATTGCCATTTTATAATGCAGTTTCTCAGTGGTTCAGCAATTTGATAGTCATGGGTTTTCTTTTCATCCAGTTAAATTCGGTGCACCACTTTGTCTATTATTGTTAAAGCATGCGACACACCAACAAGTAAAAATATTTATGTGATTTCTGCGTTTTCTTGGAGCAGAACCTTCTCATTATTTTCTTTAAGGTTGAAACATGTAAACTTTTTATTTTTCTTTGTTGGCAGAATGATTTACCCTTTGTTTGCAGTCACACTGCATCTCTCTTACTGTCCCACTGTCATCTAAACCAGACCATAAATACCAGTACCTTTATTGTATTTTTTATTTGTTATGACACTCTTTTTTCACTAAGCAAAACTTGTTTGGCAGAACTGAGGAATTTAATGATCCAACAGGGTTTTCATCACCTTTGAGGGTCTATTTATAATGTATGTGTTCCATGCAGCTACTTCTACATGGATTTGCCTTTTTATTGAAATGTGTAATATGGTAAGATGTTACTGAGAGTTACTGTCTTTCAACCTCTGAAGGTTTGATTTTCTGTGTCTATATGGTTCACCTCCAGACTGTTTCCATGAAAGAAATTTGAAGAGTTGCTACCTAGAGCTTTGTATGTTCACATAGCCATACCAGATGTAGTACCTGTGCTTATTTTGGGAAGGCAATTTGACTATTTTATCGTTTTTTTTGTTAGTATTCTTCAAACCACTGCAGTATGGAAGTAAGAATAGCAAATACTGAGAAAGAGAAATTATTCTCTAAGAAGTGAAGAGTTTTGTGTTGACATGTGGTTCTACAGTATTTGTTGGCTTTTCACTCATGCCCTGAATTCTGTTTTCTTTGTGGTAAACAGGAGGAAAATATTACATTACAGATCATCAAAATAGAATTTAGCCATGAGACTGAAATGCCTTTATGGAACTGGAGGAAAGGAATTTCTGTGTGTAGTAATTAATTGCTAGCATTTTTGTTTCTGAATATTAGGGAGAAAAAAGAAACAGTATCTTTAATTAGCATTGAATAGAAACTGGATTGTGGAGCCAGCTGGCTCAGCTGTCGGCATATGATAGAACAGTGGGAACTGAACCAGAAAACACTTTATGAGGTTACTGTAACCTAGAATTCATGGCAATAATTTTAATGGGTGGGTGCCATTCATCTCTTAGTGAAGGGAGGAGGATATGGAGGGAGAAACTCTTAAGAATTTTCTATGATTATTTCTTAATTATATAAATAGTCAAAAATAGAAAACTTATTCAGAAGACAGTTCTAGTTTCCTTGTATAGATTAAAAGTGTAATCCACTACTGGAAAACATTAATGTTAAAATATTAATGTTAAATATTGTTAAAATGCTAATGTTAAAATATTAATGTTAATTCTTTTTAACAGATCAACAATTTTCTTTTTCAGGTCGAAAATTTAAAAAGTTTAACAAAATTAAGGTTGTGAGAACATTAGATGTCGCACTCCAGCAGCCAGCAGCCCTTCAAGATGAAAGCCAATCTCTAACCCAAAGGCTGTCCTTTTCTCCAAATCAAGAAATACAGTTTGTTCCCCCAATGATAAGTGTTCTACGAGGCATTGAGCCAGAAGTTGTCTATGCTGGTTATGACAATACAAAACCCGAAACACCAAGTTCCTTGCTGACCAGTCTAAATCATCTTTGTGAGAGGCAACTTCTTTGTGTAGTCAAGTGGTCTAAATTGCTACCAGGTAATAGCACTTCTTATATGTAGTGAATTCTAGTTAAGCAAATATGTCATAGGACGAGCAGTCAAAAGAGAATATTATTGTCTGCCTGTTAATTAATTCTTAACAAATTCTAAAATTATTAACCTTCCACTTCATCAGATAATATATGCAGCAATCAGATGCATTTTAATAGGAGGGCACTCTTAAAGGAATGCATCTAAATATTTAGACTCACTCCAAAAACCAACAGAACCCTAGAGAGTTCCTGTATGTGATCGTTACAGCAGCCTTTCCGCCCTAACCCCTCCTACTCTATTATTCATGCTTTTGGTATGAAAAATGTTTATATTTCTGCATATTCTTTATTCTTAGTAAAATGAATTTTTGAAAGCAACAGAGAAAAATTGTAATAAATAGTACCAGTTAGGACTAAGCAGCTCACAGATGGACTGGTAATGAGAAGTAACTGTATTTATGAAGATCCAAGACTGGGTTCCAAAAAAATCCATGTTATGTATGTACATGCGTGGTATGGTCATAGGGGCCTGATCCTGGGATATATAAAAATCAATATATTGACCAGAAAGCCTGGAAATACGGTTTCATGGGAGCTCAGTTTGAAACTTCACAGCTGCAGGAAAAGGTAGTCCCTATCACTGCTCTTCCCCATTGCAGCTTGTGCTTTTCAGACCTCTTGGTTGAACTGATTCATCTCATTAAGTGAGAAGAAAACTTTTGGTTTTACCCTCTGTAGTTTTCTAATGGCTTCATGAGCGGAACCAGTTCACTGAGGGGTGACATGAATGCCAGAGCTTGCTTGAAGGAGGTAACAGGACCAGGTAATGAAGAACAGGACCACTGCTTTCCGTGGCAGGAAGCTGTTAGATTGACGCAGATACTTCATAGCAATCTTTAAAGTTATCAAAGAGCAAAAGTTATCAAAGGCAAACACAACTGAATACTCTTCTCTTTAGTTAAATGCAAGAAAGATATTCATATGTGGATGTTTATTGTATTACAACTGTATCTCTTGTTAAGAACATTAAAGTCCAAGCTATCTGTATTAAATAAGAGTTGGTTACAGTGATCACGTTACATACTGTCATATTTTTACCAAAGGAAAACGAGATGCATTCCTATTTCCTGAACCAGTCACTTCTGACTGCTAAAGTTAATTTTGGTTTGATCATTTTAAAATAGTGGGTCAGAACAAAAAGACAAGAGGTTAACTATCAAAGTGAGATAGCCAGTTATTATACAAACTTCACAAACTTCTGAGAGCTAAGTCCCCAAAAGCACTTGTCTTTCTAGGTGTTCTCAGTTTTATAGCTCAAAGATGTAATCTCAGAACACCTACTCGATTGTTGCCTAAATGAGAATTATAAAGTATTTTAACTTTAATTTCATTTCCAGGATTTCGGAATTTACATATTGATGATCAGATAACCCTCATCCAGTATTCCTGGATGAGTCTAATGGTTTTTGCAATGGGATGGAGATCATACAAACACGTCAGTGGTCAGATGTTATATTTTGCACCAGATCTGATTCTAAATGAGTAAGTAGACTTTGCTGTTGCATAATATGAATGACATTTTGAACTTATTTGTGTCAATGAGAATGTAACTTAACATTGAGGCCAAGATTTCGTTCATTACTTGTTCTGTTTCAAAATTAACAGCAGAGGAAAGTCCTCTGATCATATTAAAGTTCAGTAACTTTGGAAAGGGTTTTGTGGGAATCCCAAATATTCTGTTGACACGGCCAAACAAAAGGAGTTCAAATAATATTTTAATTATCTAAGAGAAAAATAAAAATAAAAAAAAGAATGATGCTGTCAGAAGATTTACCTGAATTAATCTGAATAAGACATGAGTTTATGTTTAATAAATGGAACTAAGTAGGATTTTTGTTCGTCGTTGTTTGGGTGGGTTTTGCATAAAGTTTTTATATAGTCTAATATACTCAGTTTTGACACTTTCTGATAAAACTCTGTTTTTCTAAAGTACATTTATTGTTAGAAAATGGTAATAATTTAGCAAGAAGTAATTTTAATATCAAGGATAAAATATGTGAGACTGCTCTTTTCTGGTTGGAGGGGGGGATTGTTGGCGTAGATTTTCCTTCACTATGCTGATGAATTCAGATAATCTTCATTTCAGTCTGTCAGTTTTTCAGCTCTGCAAATTAGTATTATAAAAGCTGTAATTTTAGATACTTTGGTTATAATACATGGGAGGTTTCCAGGAACAGTAAAACATGATTTAATCTCCCTATTTATTTTTCCTTAATACATTTTTTTTAGTTGTTTTTCTCAAAATCCTAAAAGAACTACTGTGAAGTGAGATGAAAGTTAAACAGGTTTTCTTGTAAGACATATCTGTTTAAGGATTAAGAGGTGGATTTGCAGAAGATCTGGGCTCCTGAATTTAAAATCTATAGACCTGCAGGTTCTTGCCAGTGAAGTTCTTTATAGAAAATATTCAGTGGGACTGGCCCTGGTAGCTCCTGACCTTTTCTCTTCCAGATGACTGTAAATCACTGTGAGGTTATAGAGTAATGAATTCTTTCCTCTGCCACGTGTATTAATTATGCTGTACAAATTTAAATACTTTGAAGGGATGAGACTGAGAGAACTACTGACTGTATTCTGTCCCAGCATAGTCTGCGATACATCTCATGGTTACATTCAGAAGAAACACAGGGTGAGATGGCTTTAGGTAGTAATGTCATGTCTTGGGGTATTACCCTGTATGTGGACCACTGCTGCCACCTTGTGAAGAAGACTTTCTTCAAGAATAGGGTTGAGTTTTATGAACCCTGATTATAATCCCTCAGAGACAACTTTTTGTTTGCAGCTCAAGACCATCTACATTGAGAAAGAGGTGGACTGACAACATACCGTTCTCTTGGTTAGAGAACATCTCATCAGGGTCATATTAGAAACATTATAAACAAAAAGTTTCATAACACTACGAAAACTAACTGGCACACTAAATCATAGCTGCAACTATTTATTGGGAAATAAGTTAGCTTTTAGATCAGTAAAATGTAAGCAACTTCCTTGTCTACAGTGATGTCTAAGATTGTACTTTCATGATCGCTTTAAGCAAAGGTAAGTGCTGAACACAGCCAAAAAAGCCAACTCCACCTGCCTCCCTGCCCTGGTCATGCATCCCCATGATTTCACTTAAGCTGGATCAAACACTATGTGGCTGCACTGTCAAACAGATAAGGAAATTATATGCTTGAGAAATAATCCAGAAAAAGCCATGAATTGGCAGATGGAGGTGATCCCTGATCTGACTCACCACGTGGACATGCAGGCACTGATGCCAGAATAGCAGGAGTGCACACCTAGAGGTGGAAAAGAGATAATGGAAATTCCTTCTTATAGGGGCAACACACACTTGAGTTGTTTCAAAATGACCATGAAACCAAAATTCAAAGATTGTTTCACAGCCAATCTGTCATTTAGTGAACTGAGTTGTAATGCTCCTTGGAAATGACTTGTTTGGTAGCATCAATTTCAGACCAATAAAGCCAGACAATGATTTCATGAATTAGTATTAAAACCCTAGAAAGATTTACTGTTACTTACACTTTGCACTGTCTGAAAACATGACTAAGAACAGCATTTCAGCATACCCTGAAAGCTGCTGTCACCCTTCATAGATACTACTTAGAAATAGAGACTACCAGAAAGGAATAGGAAGGGAGATATAAAGTAGCCGTAGAAGTAACCAGTCCTTTCAGATCTAACAAATTAAATTTCTATGTTTAAGTCATTTAAGAGCTGGTGCGAGATATCAGATATTGAACAAAGCTGAAATAATTTTCATTTAAGGCAACAGTAACACTTTAAATAACAGGAGAAAAAAACCTCAGTGCATTGGGAGAAGTCTTTTATTCATGGAAAATATCTTCTGTTTTCATTGTTGACGGTACTATCTGCAGTCAGGTTGGAGCACTGATCTGGACTTCGTAAGGGGGAAGGGCAAAATTTAATCTTGTCATTGTTGTACCTAATTCATCTGGATCGGGATGCAGCTTTGTAAAATTAGCCCATGTTACTGGATCTTCAGGTTAATGTACAGTTAATTCAGTTTAGTTTACAGACTTTGAAATGCTATTGTTGCAGTAATTTCAGTTGAAAACTGCCCTCCCAATAAATATATGCAATAAAATATACTCAGTATACCAAAATCTCAGAGAGAAAAGTAAGATTGAAGCACTGCAAAAAACTAAACAGTTTTATTTATTTCCTTGTGCGATTTGTCCTATTTACTTCTGCAGGAGTTTAGATAAGGCTGTATTAAAGTCTAAGTTTACTTAAATACTTTTTGTATATATTTACATTTAACATTTTTAACTGTCTCTTTAATGGCATAAAATGCTACAAAATATCATTGCTGTTAGCAGTACAATGTTAGACTTGCAACAAAGTATTTTGATTCAGACATTTTTGCAAAACCTAAGAACAAGTTTTCCATGAACTTTCAGGTTTATCTTCAATTTTATGCTTTGAAACCTTTCCAGAGAATGTAAAAATCTATCAACCTCTAAAAGAAAAAGAAAGTACTTCACATTAATTATTAGGGTGTTTTTAATTAATAAAAACCCTTCTTTTTTGGTGGTTAGCATTCAGCTTTGATAGTCTCCAAGGTTTTTTTTTCTGGGCAGCAGTAACAAATTAAACATCCAAAATAATAGCACATTCATTACGATTAAAAAACTGGTGTAGGTACAAAAAAGTCAGAAAATTGTTTATGTGTATAACCTCTTTCTTTTATTTCTGTAATGTGGTAATTAAACTGCTAACAAAGCACTTCCTTCAAGGAATTAGTACCGGAGCCGTTCCTTTTCTTTATTTTCATGGTTTTTAATTTTTTTTACCTTTTCTGGGTGTAAGACAGAGGATGAAAGAATCATCGTTCTATTCCCTGTGTCTATCCATGTGGCAACTCCCACAGGAATTTGTCAGACTTCAAGTTAGCCAAGAAGAGTTCCTATGTATGAAAGCACTGTTACTTCTCAACACAAGTAGGTTCTTTTATTTCTTTGTAACATATCACCAGTAAAAGAGTTTTGAACCATGTTGTTTAACTTGACAATTGCTAAGCTATCTGGCTTAACAAATGGAAACTTCTTTAGGAGGAATGTTAGTCTTCCAAGACCTAAAAATATTTTTTCTAGTGTTTATAAGGAACAAATAATTTGTGATTCATTGTTGGTTTTATTCTGTATAAAGGCACTGGGGAAATGTTGGATCCCTTTTGATATATAGCTATACTGTACTACACATTTTCAAGTCAAGTGTGCAGTATTTCTGCCTGGAAGCTCTTCAGCTTAAATGACTCTACACAGATAAAAAAAACCTTACAAGCATTAGAAATATATTAAAAAATATTTGATAAATTGTCAGGACTGAGGGCTTTATCTTGGCCAAGAACTTGAAGCATGCTTACTCAAAAGAATTAGGGAGGTGGACGTGGCAAACAATACTAACATTTATTCAACTTTTTATAGGTATAAATAGGTCAAGTTTAGCACAGATATAAACAAATGGAAATGTTTTTCTTTGGTTTGTTTCTCTAGAACAAAATCCATGATCACTTTTAATCATACGCATCTTTTAAAGAATCCAGCATACAGCTGCATTCCACTTTAAATGGGAAATGTGGTAGTTGATGAAGTTATCTTCCAAAACCTTTTCTAAAATATGAAAATGTACATCTGCTGAGGCCCTAATTGTTAGTTATGAATCCACAAATAGAAAGTTTTAAAATGGTCCAGGTGCTATTAGAAATTAGAATAAGCACCTCCAAGAAATATAATTTGAAGGATGTTGAAGTTTGGTTCTCTACACACTTATGGAGTTGGAGAAGAGATGTGCAAATCCTGCATAACCTGCTTGTTGATTGTACAAAGTTTCAGTAAAAGATAAGGAACTAAGATTTATTCCCTCTTAAGCTGTACTTGGCTGGTATTTGCATAAGCTCATGCTTAAAAAAACCTTGGTCTCAGCAGAGCATAAGCAGTAAAGATTAAATTTAGCTCATATGAACATAAAAATTACTAAAATAATAGCAAAATACCATACACTCTGCTGAAGCAATAAAAATAATGTGGACAAAAATCCCTCTCTGATAAAACTCCAGTTGGAGTTTGAATGTATTCCTATTTTAAATGTTTTCGACCTTGTTTACATCATGAAATTAACTCCCCTGTCTATCTGAAGCTTATAAGCTTCAGATAGATTTATTCTATCTGAAGATTTAAATTTTAGTGAAATTTAGATACATTTGTGATATTCCAGCTCTCCATTTCTGTCCCACAAAGTTCAAATCAAATTCAAAAAAACATTGCAATGGTAAACCTCTCATCAGTTTAACAGTATTCATCAAGCTACCATTCTTTATCAACTGCATTGCCCTCAGAAACTCATTTTTAAGATGACATGTTTATATATATGCAATAAATTAGTTTAAAAAAAAAGTATTTCTACTTGTGCTGATGAGTTTTGCTTTTTGTTCTCTCCTGCACTTATTGTCTTATAGGAAAAAACAAATTGTCAGATCTTTGGGAAAAGGAACACACCTAACCGTTGTTGCTGAGACATTTAGTAAACGTTTGGTACTGTATAAATATAATTCCACAAAATTATTTTCAAAAAACCATGTAACCTCATTGTTGCTATAAAGTGTTTTTTAAGACCTCTTTTATTTTAGTCATGGTATTCATCTTAGTCCTCTTCAAATGTGAAAGTATGGCCATTTCAAGCTTTCATATACTAACAATAAATGAAGTCTGAACTTTAGTCTCTCATTCTTTCTTCTGTTTGATTTATTGTTTAGATGAACTGTTTTTTACTTTTTATATAATTTTGAAGAAACAGTAATTTGTATTAAACATAACTAAATGTCAGTCTCGATACAATTCTAATTCTGAATGGAAACCCCAGCCTAAGTTGTAACATTTTTGATTTTACAGTTTTTCCATTGAGTTTGCTGTGGCTCAGACGTTTTCTTTATGTTGTACTTGTGACAGTTTTAAAGCTGTCTTGAAAGCAGAATTAGTCTTTGCAAAAAGTGGACCAACATTTTTATTTTCTGCAATTCTTTCCATTTTACAGGTCCTTATTTACCGTATGTAATATGCTGTGTTGTAGTAGTGCCCCAAAAGTTCAAAATAGGGCTCCATCTTGCAGAGGCCACATACATCTAGGAACTAATACTATGAATAGTTCAGGAAGACTATGATTTAAGAAAGTAGAGCTATGCCAAAAAAGAGAGAAATAAGCATATAGCAAGTTCAGTTCTAGCTCTAACACTTTCCAGACTTTTGATTTAGAGGAGTTGCAAAATCTTGTTGCATAAGATTTTGGCTGGGTTCTTGCCACTAAATGAAAGCATCCACATTCTTTACATATGTTCAGGGAGAAGGAGCATTCGAGCTACCTGTGTTTAAATTGCATTTGTTCATGTAAGACATTGTAATTCTTCGCTCAAATAAATAGCTTAGTGGAACCTTTTGTGATTAGATGGGAATGTGACTGTGCTTTTGCAGAATTCTGGGAAACAGGCCATTCATTGCTGGAAGAGATCTTTTAATTCACAAGGGAAATGTAAGGACTTAACTGCTGTTTTAGAGATGTAAGCCAAAGAAAGCGTCCACCTAACCCTAAATTCCATTAGAATGTCACTTTATATGAAAAAGATTTCATAGGTGTCTGTAATTCTGCTGTTAGACATACCCAGAACCATCCAGGCTTTGAAAATTATGCTATTCTTTTTCCATTGCATAACTTTTCCCCACTGTGAGTATTCCTGCCTGTATTACTCCTAAGCACATTGCATTCTCCACAAAATAGAACTCTTCCCTTCCATTGAGACCCTCAACGCATATGTGACAGGCACGCTTTCAGATACCTCCTTTGTCTGTCTGGACTTGAGAGGCCATACTGAGTCAAGCCAAAGGTCCACCTCGTCCAGCATTTCATCTCCATCAGCTGCCAAAAGAAATCTAACATGGCATCCCTAAAAGGTGGACTGTTAATAGATGTGGTGTTATAAATGTACTTTCTGTGGAAGCAGTTACAATTTCTATTCTCTGTTTTTATTTTTGTTTGAATTCTGTTTTAGTTAGGAGTCAGACCCTGACTTCCATAGCCATCTCAGTGGCTTTAAAGACACTTGTCTTTAAAGTAAATTTGCTATTTTCTGTATGTGTGTCTCCTTCCTTCCCCCAGACTTTTCACTTGTCTGAGGAGACACAGAGCAAGAGACATCCTTGGCAAACTGGATCATTTCCTCTCTTGGGCAGTCTCTTACAAAATAGGAGACTTCTGCTTAACTCGAGTAGAGATTTGAACTTCTGCTTCATTATCTCTCTCTGGGCTGGAGGTGGGGGACACAATTTTAATCTGTTCGCCTGAAGTGTCTCCTTCCCCCTTACCTTCTTCTGAGGAACGAGACATGACTTAGGCAACTGACTTCAGAACAGGGTTTATGATTTCCAAATGGAGAGCAGTGCTTCTCTCAGTGCAGAGTTTGCTGCCTAATTCTCTTTCAGGGAATGGGTTAAGGTCCAACCCTTGTGCAGCCGTCTGCTTTTTAGGTGGCTTCTGTTTTAAGAATTCCATTCTTAGGTATCTAAACAATACAGTGCATTGTACAGAGTCAGCACACATACATTTATGTTTTAATTCCAGAAAGTGACAAATCACCTGGAAGTTAGGTGTTACAGTGTTGAATAAGTCAATGTCATTATGAACCAAGCTTCAATTTTTTTTTTTTTTTTAAGAGATGCAAATGAAGGCTGTTGTGTCCTGATACTAGTCGTGGCCTGATACTAGTCATGGTCTGATACCAGATTGAAGATGTACTAGATACCTAGATAACTAGCACGTGATTTATTTGACTATGTGAGCTAGTCCCCATGACATTCTTTTAGAGTCTGTGGAGAAAAATAAGCATCTCTACAGCATAATTCATCTTTTTCTAAAGCTACTTCAGGAACTTTTTACTTTTACTTTTTACTTGCCTGATTTTTCCCACTAAAACTACAGCAATCTGTGGTAACTAGCCCAGATGGAGGTGCCTATACTGCAAAATGTCTAAAGTTTGGTGAGGTGAATCCTTCCCCTCATGCTGCTGTCAGAATACGAAATGTTAAATGTGATATTGCAGTGTGAAATGTCATTGGCAAGAGAGAAAAGAAAGGGGAAGAAATTTAACAGCTCTTTCAAAAACAGTATGTTTGAAACAAGACCATATTTTAATGTATGATTATTATAGTGAAGCAAGGATTTAGATTTGATTGCCAGATGGGAATATTTTTTCAGGTTTCATTTCTTCAAGTTTTTCATTTCTTAGTTGCCTTTGACAACATTAATTGTAAGACTTGTGTATTACACTCTGCAATATCAAGGAAAGTAGTCTGGAGCTTATGCCTGTTTCCTTATAATGCTACCAACACTTATCATCAGTGATCAAATATGGTCTTATCACTAGCAATCACTAACAGGTTCATTCCTCAATGTTCTCTCCGTGTCCTCATTTTGGTCCTCACAGCTGACCACTGAGAGAAGAGTGGGTTCAACCATTTGCTCCTCCTTGCTAATTTCTCTAAAAGCTGTTCACACTTAAGACTGATAATGCATCTATTCGGTTAAGTGAAAGAGGTCCAAACAGGAGGCCTGAACCCTGGATGCTTTGCTGTCTACGCTACTTAAGAGTCATTAGTTCATTGCTTGACTCCATTTTGAAGCACTCTAGCTAGATCTCTAACATAAATCTGCTATGAAGAGGGCTGACCCTCAGCAGTGTAAACATGAGCCATTCCATAACATCTTTCCTCAAGAACAGGAGTGCTTCTTTTGGCCATCTTCTTTTCAGCAGACAGGTGTAGCTGAAGCTTAAGGCTATTTCTAGACATCAGCAATTAGCACAATTGCCTGATTGTTGCTGGTATATCCTTTTAACTAATTGTATCACTGTTTCTGGAGTAACTGTTGAACGGGAAGAAGTGCCTGGTGTATAATAATGAATTGCACTGCACAGCGTGAAATACTATAAATTGTTCCTGTACTTCAAATTTCTCCATTGCCTTCAGAATAAATTGCAACACAACTGTTACTGTCTTTTTAGTTCCTTTGGAAGGTCTAAGAAGTCAAAGCCAATTTGATGAGATGAGAACGAGTTACATTAGAGAACTGGTGAAGGCAATTGGTTTGCGCCAGAAAGGTGTTGTGGCCAACTCGCAACGTTTCTATCAACTTACAAAACTGATGGATTCCATGCATGATGTAAGTTTACTTGTTAATGTGTTTTGCTTTTTAGGTAAGAATGAACTAGTATTTCTTAAAAGTAATTTTATGGAAAGCGGCTAGTCAAAAACCCCTACATTTTTCCTTTAGTGTGTATATTTGTGTGAATAGATACCTGTATATTCAGCATCAATATATATTGTGTATATATTATATGGTATACAAGATTTAAGTATTTGAGAAACATGCATTTGAATGCTACCATTTTGTTTCATTATTTCTGTAACATAACTAGTACAGTTACGGTTTTTGGTAGGGGGCGGCATGTATATGTGTGTGCGTGTGTATACATGTTCATGAAAATATTTAAATAATGCAAAGACTAGGCAATTCAAGTTGCAAAGTCAGGCTACTAAGAACTAGAGAAAGACAACCAAGATTGGTTTTACAACCTTAATTCAACTACTTTTATGTGTATAATCTATGCCATTTTTTCAGTATCTGTCTACATTTGGGAATTGAGTAATCTTTGAGAACTCTAGTGGTGATATAATGATTCCCAAGTGTCATAAAAGATGCAGCTGAATACTTTCCACATCTCTGAGAATCCAGCATGTATCCTATTGGCTTAGCACCCATTAAAACTGGGGAATGACATTTTGTATAAACCTTTGCCCACGTGAATATTGTTTTGTAATGGCTTGTGTATCTGCAAGAGGGGCAAAAAGCAGAGGTACAGGGCCATACCTGACGGTTTTAGCAAGCGCTGTGGAAGTGGCACTAAGATAGTTTAGGAAGAGTGCTTTTGAGTTCAATGCTGGTTGTGAGGAGCTCATAGGGAGTTCAGGGAAGGATGGGGTCTTTGCATGTTTGTATTCTGCACTCAGCAAATCTGCATTTTATTTTAGTTGTTCATTAATATATTAATTTATTCATCTAAAACCTTTCATTGTCACTAATTCCCCTTCTGATGGGGGAAAAAAAAACCAACCCTCTGAGGATCCTGCTTATGGGAGTTAAGAGAGGTAACGATATTGATAATTATGTGGTTCACCAGCTGGTCTGCAGTCTTCTGATCCACTGCACAAACCTCTCCATCAGCTTCTGCTATCCACAGAACTCACATTCACCATTTAGCTATTACATCATCTCAGATACCAGCAAAAGGAGAATAAGACAAGTGCGAAAAGCATTCTTACAGGTGAAGGTAGACAATAGAAAATTCTGAAGGGAGGATATGGAGATTAACTTTTTACTTTTGTCAGACTGCAGTCATCACTGTGGACTGTCAGTGCTAAACCCTTCCCTGGAGTTCAGTCAGTCACCTTTTACTTGCAAAAACAAGTCCTGGCCAGTATGCTACTCACGGTAGCCCTGTGCTCAAGGAACCTGTTTGGATCAGCCTTGCTTGGGATAAAAGTTCTTCCTGCCTTACCTGTAGTAATAATTTGCAATCTGAGTGTCACAGCATCCAGAGGAAGATGCTTTTGAGTGCTGGGCTGTAGAGTCAATCTCTTAATTTCAAATACTTAAAATAAAATAGCCTTAGTGGAAGCGAGTGAGTGAGGCTTGCTGCAAAATACCCAGCAAAGTGATGGTTAGTAAGTAGTGTTTGGTCCGTAGAGTTATCTTTGTTCAGGTCCCTATTTCAGCTCAGGCTGATAAAGTGATGGAAGATCTGAGGAAAAGATAATCACACTGGAGAGCTTGTGTGTTGTTAAAGCCTGGAGTAGCAGAAATAGTATGATATTTGATAACATAAAGGTCACAAGTCTTAAAGAAAAACTTCTATAAAATTGGAACTTCTCAGAGAAGATGGAAGAGGTGAAATAGTCATATACATTGAGCAGTCGGGGATTCAAGGGACGAGGACCTATGGAGTTTAATGTTTGCGGCATACCCAGATGTGATCACAATCAGAACCATGGAAAAGCTCACAAGGAAATAGTAAATGCTGTCCCTCGGAGCAGTGTTTGAATAGCATTACAGTAAACAAGGCATGGAGACGTGTTGAACATGGGGATAAAATGAAAGATTGAATACTTGTTTAGTAATTGCCATTGTTCATGGTGCACGCTGTGAGTAAGGATGATAACACTTTATAATATTAGTGAGGCACTGTTTTTATATGACATACTGTTTAGCTATATTTATGACTTTTTGCCATGGGAGGATATTTTAATAGGGAATGACAAGTACCCACATTATTGATTCAAGGAATGACAGAGGAAGGTATATAATGATGCCAGCTGATGGATGTATGGGTGGAGTGATTGATAGCATGTTTATCTGGCTGCATTACTGTTAGCCTGATTTATCATGTTTGTATTTTATTAAATCCAGCTAGTGAAACAGCTCCATCTCTTCTGTCTGAACACATTTCTCCAGTCCCGTGCACTGAGTGTTGAATTCCCCGAGATGATGTCAGAGGTGATTGCTGCCCAGCTACCCAAGATTCTGGCAGGGATGGTGAAACCTCTTCTCTTTCACAAAAAGTGAAATGTCTTTTCTCTTATCATAGAGATGATTTCTGGGTCATTTTGTTTGTTTATTTTTGTCAAGATTTTGCAATGTCAGGACTTCAGTGTATTTGTCATACTTACCCTGCCTACTGCTTTATACTTGTAACATACACAAGCCATTTAAGCTTGATGTACATATTGTGAGTTCCTGATTCCTTAACTGCAAAAATCACAACAGTCATAAGAAATGTTTTGTAAACTTGGCTAGGTTGCTTTTTAGATATGCATAAGAATGACAATGAATAGAGTTTTCAGATTTCTAAGAACAGTTATCTTATACATTTTTCTTACATATTACACTCTCTCAAATTTCTGATATGACATGGTGTAAACTTTTTACTTTAGTACATTGTGTGCATGGGTACATGTGGGCATTCCTTTAATTTGGAGGAATTAAAATAAATATTGCCCACATTTTCTCACGGATATTTCACTTTTTATTAACTACTTTGCCTCACAGAAATACCCTTTCAAAGTCAGCTGTCCAGGATTAAGTAGACATCACTGCAATACCTTCATGAGTAACTAAGTGCTAGCCACAAAATATACATTCATACTCTTGGCTGTGCCCATATTGCATTGAAACTCTGAGTTCAGTGTACTGAACTGTGCTGCACCATTCAGTGCAGCTCTCCTTCAAAAATCAGAAAGCTTGGGAAAATTTCAGTGTATATTACACCAGAAATAATGTGTATGCAAACCCACTCAGCTTTGGCTTGTGTTATTTTCCTTAAAAGTTCAGCACTTACTAAAGCTAAATCGCTTAGCTATAATCTTAAATTCATCAACTTTTTAAAATTCTGTATTTCAGAAGCTTTAAATAGAGATGTTTTCACTGACTACAACTCATAATAATCTTAATGATTTGAATTCCAATGCTGAATACTCAAACAGCCATTAACATCAAATTATAGTGAGATTGAATGCAAAAAGAAATGGAAAATATGACTACAAACATTTTGATACGCATCAGACTCATTTCAGTACTATTTAGTGGAGCTACATATTTTATATTTTAAAGGCATGCCATTATAATTGGGGTAACTGTAAAAGAGGAATTGGACTAAAGTAGCTTTATACATTCAAGAAGAATGTCATGTTTTACCATGGAAATGAAATATTTGACTGAAAAATTATAATGTGGTGGTAGTTGTTCCTTTGATGTGGATATGGAGCAACTCATGCATTTAAGGCAGGAAATTGTTGATCTATTGAAACAACAGAGAACCGGATAAAGCCCAAGAAGACAATGAGTCTATTAAAATACGACAAATTTTGCCAGTCAATAAAAATGATACTCAAATTCTCTAACAGTGTAGGAAATGGTGAATCTTACTTGGGTACTTGCTGGCCATAGGCTTTTGCTCTTCTCCATTACACGTTGGATGCATCCATCGTGTGATAGCATACTGTTGATGGTGTGTAACTTGGTCTGTATCCTTGTCACGTGAACAAAGGCTCACTGGACATAAGTTCAGTATCCCTGATTAAGTCAGGGTGCCCCTCATTAAAAGTATAAATGATGTTACTTGTTCATAAAAACTATGTCCTGATTCTTGAAAAAAATGTAGACAACTAACAACTAAAGGCAAATCTAAAGGTTTCCTTACTATTTACAATTCCTAAAGCCACTCAAGAAGAAGCTACATTACGACTGGGGATAAAAATGTTTTTGAGTTCCACATATGAGTACAAAACCCACTAGAGTTGGTGCAAAGATGCGGCCCTGGATAAAATGGCATAAGCAGACTTTTTTGTTAGTTGACTAGGTTCATCATTTCTAACTGCCCAGAGAGAAGCAATTTCTTTCATATTCAGTACAGTCTGACTTTAACTGTGATCCTTAAAACAGTTATGTTTTAATAAATAACACAAAATTCTTTATTTCTATATATTGAAGTTTTGTTTTCTTTATTCTTCTTTGTATTTGCATTCAGTAATTGTGGAGCTTAGTAAAAAAGTCCATTTCAACCATTCCACTTCTGTGTAACAATATTTTCATGCACTCTTTGGGAATGTAAGCATTGCCACATGATTTACCATTGAATAAACAGAGTGTCTATGTTACTGTTTAGATTAAACTGTTAATAGAAACTTCCCACACTAAAAATTGTTCCTTGACACCCTAATCCTGAAATTGGAAAACGGAGCAGGCAGTATGCTTGCCTTAGGAATGCCCCAGATGAGCCTACATCTGCCTTTTACTCAATCCCTAAAATTTGTTCCAAGTGGCTGCCACGTCACTGTGTCCCATAAATATGGCAGATTAGTCTGAAATGCTCTATAATCAAAAAGCAGGAATAGATGTCTTTTGGGAATAGGTAACAAAGGTTAAAAACATTTTCAAATTGTATTTCTTAAAGATCTCTAACTCACAAAAAAAATTCCCAGAACTTCATGGTCATAAATGCACTACGTAAGACAGAATGAGTTTGACTAAATGCAGCTGCTACATGAATTTGAAAGTCCTGTATTCATTACTTGGTTGTCTGAAGTTAGAAAAAACTGTTTGAATTTGAGAACTTCCAAAGGCTTTGAACCCAGTTTATAAAATTGCCTTTAGTCTCCATTTTGATACCATCATTTGCTCCGGACTACACAGACGCCATGAATAGTGGTCAAAACACAAGACTGCTTCCTTCCCTATAGAAATCTCATGTACTGTGACTTTTCAACACCGTGGCAATGTCCAGAGAGCCATCAGCAAACTCGTTTTTTCTTTGAGAGTACGAGGCTTTTTAGTTGTCTGTATTTCTCTGCATTATTTGTTTAAAGATTAAGGTATTTTTTTGACCTGAGCTTTACAAATAGGTCTAAATAAAACATCTTGTAGTGCTTCTCAATATACTGAACAAGGCATAAGAATGCTGGATCTTCCTGTGTTGCATTTTGCATACTAGAAATAAGAGGTTTCAGCAGATGGACTTTTTCGTTTTCTGACATTTACGATGTGCCTGATTACATTTTAAAGGTGTGAGACCTGTTGTACTAATTAGAAAGCTTGCCATCTTCTGCAGATTGCGGACATAACTTTATGTCAGAGCTATCCCTAAAAGTTCTTCACCTTAAACTAAATAATGCAAGCTATGCCTGAAGCTAAGCCTCTCCTATTCTGTACAGTTTAGATATTTTTGGGCCAAGGCCTTTAGCATTACCTTCTGCTAGTACTTCAGTGAAGCAAACAAACAAACCCATGAAGTCAACCGTTTCCTTTGAGCTCTACTGTTGTTACTCAGCTTTGTAGAGGCTCGCATTTATAGTTTTTAGACTGTTTTGAAGGTCAAAGTGCCTGGCTGTGGCAGCCCGGCTGTGTTTGGAGAGCTGTGACAATGCGGTGCAGGGAAGGAGACCTCCAGCCCCGACAAGCTGTCCTGCTCTTTCACACCAAGTTGCTTCACAATTGTACCTGCTGTGCTCGAAGAAATACAAAAGATCAAACTCTTGGCTCATGTTTTCAAAGATTGTAGCTGGATCAACAGTTTTGACCAGCCTTTAGGGAAAGGGGAATGTGGCGTCGTTAACACCTAGTCTGTGACGGAGGGAAGTGTAGTCTGAGAAACTTCCAGTCGATTTCATGGCGCTTTGGAATGGTCTAGTTGTATGTGTGCATAATAAACTGAAGCTTAGGTATTTTTGAACTCCAGCTGTTCCTTCAGCTGCACTGCGGTTGTTTTCTTGTGTTATATCTACAGTAAAGAAGCGGAGAGTTCAGTTTGTGTTTTCTGACCAGTCAATCAATGCTTCATTAGTACCTTAGCTCTTTTTTTTTTTTCTTTTAAAGTACAGTAATAGGTGTCTCTCAGTTATCTTTACTGGGAAGGTCAGCTGCTCTCCCGTGTTCCTATCTAAAACCAAATATTTATCTCAGTTATCAGTGACATACTGGTAGCATCAACAGTAACATCTGTAGGGATCCTTCCTTCTTGTACTCTTCTACCTGCACAAACTTGTTAGTTTATCCCCAGAGCAGGAGAGGATGGGGCTGCACTCCACCCATGCAGCACTGCAACTCCAAGTACACGTTTCTTGCCTGACGCGCCGTTTGTGGCACGCTGACCTTTCTTTCCTTCCGATAAGTCAGCTTGCAGCCACAGAGCCAATATCCAAAGCCCTCCCAACTTTCCATGGCTCAGAAGCCTGTGTGCATACTGCCAGGCTAGACTGTCAGCATTGCTGGATTTATTGGTTTGTACTGCTTTGTGTCATGATGACCTGGCTTGAACAGAGGGTTTGTTTTTAATTTAGTTCTCTTTTCCCCCTTGGAAGATGAAAAGGAAAAAAAGGTCATATTTTAGGTGGTTTTTATCTTAAAATTTATGAGGGTTTTTTTTTCAGTGAATGCTATTAATTTATTAGATTGACGTTATTTGCATGCAGAATGGTACTGTAGCTTTTCAGATGCTTGGAGAGAAACATGCAGTAAAAGGTGACTGCATGAATAATAAAAACTAAGTTAAAATTTAGCTGTCTGTTTACCTTAAAGATAAAATAATCCTCAGAAAATAATCCTTCAGCGCTGTTGGAACTAGTGCAGCAGTTGCATAACTTCAAGTAAATGAGCAGTGCTGCTCTCTTGATGTATTTTTTTGCTCACATTTAGGCATTTTTTTCCTGGGTTGGGCCCAGAGTGCTCTGCAGAAGGTGTTTACAGAATATAAAGGCTATCAAGGAGTGGCGAGCTTTCATTTAATTCTAGTTTATCATTTTAAACTGGCAACATTTCAGTTTCTTGCCAGTGTGAGGTGTGCTCATTGTAAAAATACCATCACAAGTCATAGATCATGTTTTTCTGACCATGAAAACTAAATTACCCTTTCACCTCTACAGGTACAATAGTTCCAGCGATTTAGCATTCAGGCATATCAGTGAGGAAGTTCTCACAGTGTCATTTAACTAGTCTTACTCTATTGCATTTTCCCACAGCTCAATTTAAATATCCAGCCAGCCAGTCTAGTACTAAAATCTCTTTTTGTTATGTTGAGGAAAAAGAAATATATAATTTACAGGAATCCAGAGCTCTGCATCAGTGAACTCCACAACTGCGTATTTTCAGACAAGGGGCGAGATTGGATGAAAAGCATCTAGTGGCATAATAAATATCTTTGCCATCAAGTCAGAGGTAACTGGGCAGACCAGTGCAGAGACCTTTGTGTTATACAGGTGAGACTTTTATGAACATCACCGTTAAGTTGCTCATTCCATCTTGGATGTACAGTTTTCACATATGCCTATTTTTCATATACTAGATAAAAATAGAGTAATGCTTTTACACTTCATGCCCCGTATTGTTGGTTTATGTCCGGTCTGAGACTCTGACCTGCGATGCCTCCAGTTGAGAACAATGTTCTCATCATAGCGCTCTTCAAAAGACCCGATTTATTCTGGCAGGTCCATTGTGGCTATATGGAGCGTGAATAAGGAACGCACCAAACAGACATAGACATGGCAGCGTGCGTTCAGAAAGATGTGTAAATGCTTTTACTTAGAGTACTTGAAAAAGAAACACCCAGCGATCTGCAATCACTATGCCGTTTTAAAGGTAAATTTTGTTTCAAAGGGGTATACGATTGTATTATGTAGTGCCTGAAAAAGGCTGATTGTATACTAAGATTTAATAGGATCTCTAATTCGTTTCCAAAAAAAAAGGAAGCTCCAAGGAGTCTTATGTAATCTTTGAAAACCATAAATCCATCAACTTTATAAATTCCCCAAAATGGACGCATCTATTTGAAAGGCAGTTGATTGCAGCTATTACCAAACGTATCTAAATGTAAAGTTAAAGCCATCACTACGAATAATAGTGTTTCACACAGTACTTTTTCTGACAGCTAAGGAGCACCGAGCATGCATAGCTGAAATACTTAAAGATTACATGTATGCAGGCACACAGGCGGAAACACACGCAGATGCTGTTACACTACCACCTAACTTGAGCCGGGGTGGGGGGGGGTGTGTGTGTGCGTGTGAGGGCAGCTTTTTATAAAAATATCATAACTCAATGCATCATCATGAATCAAAAGCACTTTGAGTGGAGCGAGTTTTCACCTGTAGCTCAGAAAAAGTTAGGATTGCAACTTAAATGTTCAGTGAAGGAACTGAAACATCAGACTAGTGGGTGGCAGTCTGTTACAGGTAGGAACCTTCCTTTTGTTAGAAATATTTGGAGATGTTGTATCCAAAACATGGCATTGCCCTTTCAAAATAGTGACAAAGACTTCAGTAGAGCAATGAATATGTTCCCAACCGTTTTCCCAGATCCCAGCAACATTTGTAACAGTAAAATGTGGATTTTGCTGTTACGCATGAGCATATTCTTCTATAGACAAAGCACAACACACTTGCTAGAAATGACACCCTATTAAACAGAAGAAACGTGACAGCAGAATCTGATAAAGTTTCACATTACTTGAAATGCCCGAGGAGTCAGGGTGTGGCGGCCGTGGGTTGGGGTCCATCACGATGGCATTACACGCAATGGATGAGAACGTCATCTTTTGGGACTGTCATCACCGCACATGAAGGGTTGGCCAGCTGAGGGTGACAAGGCTTTTCACTTAAAAATTTAATTGGAAGTTTTGTATCCCAAAGCTCAGCTTGCAATATAGTCATACTGTGCACTGGCCAAGTCACTTCTTACAATATTTTTACACAAGAGTGTCGGCATTGGGTTTGCCCTTATATGCGGTTTATAGTGATGGCTACAGCCAGCTTACATTTTACTGGGCGACAGAAACCACTACCCTTTCTCGAGCTTCATAATACAGGTCATGTGTCTATTTGCTCACAAAGCAAGGTTATAAACATCTGACATTAAAAAAACCCAACAGACCTCTGAAATTCTGAAAATACTACTTAGGAAGATTTTCATTTAAAGTATCCTTAAAGCCTTCCCTGAAGGCAGCCATTAATTTTGAGAAACGCTACATGATAGAGAAAAGCACAACC